ATTTCTTTAATAAATTATTGAGATATGGGCGATTTTATGATGCACGAATTTTTATTTAAGTTTGTGTAAGGGATTTATAGAAAGAGTTCCTTTTACGGATCCAATCTTTAACTTTTTAAATATACTATAGATTAAAGGTATTGCGTATTAGTGAATATTGGCCTGAAATTTAATTTAGGCTAAAGTTAAATTAAATTTTTTTTATGTCTAATAAAAAAATCTACAATGTCCAATCAAATTATTTGAACCAAATATCCACATGCTATCCCTGATTACAAGTCATTCTTATACAGTTGACCCTTGTTAGTATCACCTTTATATTCATGTTGATAGTGATATTAATGAGAGTTTATATTAAAGTTGATATATAAACGCAGGTTGATACGTATTAATGAGGGTCAACTGTTTGGTAAGTTACTGATAAATTTAAATTCAATGTAGTTTTATAATTCCTTATGATTTAACTGATTTAAAGTTAACGAACTTGAAATCATCTGAACAAGTAAAATGCTTTTTCAAAAAAGCCTTAGAAATTAAAGACTTTGCTATATGAAAATTCATTTAGATAATCATCTTATGTGTAGCCTTAGTAATTTAAGTACTCTTGAATTTTTAAAACTTTAAATTCGATAAAAATTTTTTATTTTAATTATACAAATGTTATACGAATATGGAGAAATAAAATCAAAAATTTTCATTCAATTTAGTTAGGAAGTTATCGAAAAAACTTCTATCAAAGTTTTAAAACACTTAATTTACTAATAGACAAATCAAATTAAGCAAAGTTTCTCGATAACTATCTGACAAAATTCGATAAATTTTTTTTTAATCTTACATATTTATAGAATTAAAATAAAAAAAAATTTATTGAATTTGGTCAGGTAATTATCGAGAAAACTTGGTACAAATGTGAACAAAAATTAATTGGTTAAATTAGTACTTCGTAAAATCAAATCAAATTTTATATTTGAATTACTAGATTAAATGAATAAACTGGTTTGTTCCTGTGACTGTAATCACCTGACTTGTTCTTTTTGAATTTTTGTTGGCTAATAACTCAAAATTTGTGATTTATGATTTGTTACATACATCACACCCTAGTGGTGATAAGCTACCCTAGTGAGACCGTGAAAGATCGACAATATGCACCAATTAGATGATCTGCACTAATTAAACAATCAAATTTTTAAAGTAATAAAAACCTACGTTAGGGTTGGGGTTGTGACTGAAATTATGGCTTGTCTTATATAGTACACCTTCTCAAATCTGATAGACATGGTGAATAGCTTTTGTATTAGTTTTGAGAGGTTATCGGATTTAAGATACCAATGGCTTGCTGGTCATGTGATTATAAATAAATATAATTGGCTAGATTATATTTATTATATATCTACTTGGTCACACTAAGCTCTATCTGAGCCAATCAAATTGATTTATATTACCTGACAAACCCGATATCTTATAGATATCTTATAGGTATCTGGTCATTTGAATATCGGTTATCAGAAATATGAAATAGCAGGTTATTGGGTTTGAATTATAGAACAAACATGGTGAACCACTTTTTTATCAGGTATAACAGATTATCGGATCGGTTTTGGAAGGGTAGACTGTACTAAAATTTTACGAAGAATTTTTTTTGTTAATGTGCAGTAGGTGGTTTCATAAAGAGGCGATTGTTAGAAAAGATCTGATTGGTGCATTTGCGACGATCTTTCACGGTCTCACTGGGGTAGCTGTGGCGATGTGGTTAGTTTTAGGTAAGATTTGCAGTGGCGATACTGGGTAGTTGTGCGCCACAACATTGTCACGTGAAAGTGAAAATTTTGATGGCGAGACTGGGGAATATACATATGTGCACATATGATACGTATACAAAAAAAAAAACTTGCACATCACTAAACCTATCTTGGTACGTACGTACGTACGTTAAGAAAAAATGTCAAGGGGACGATTTTACATATAGAAGCCTTTTAATATTAGCCCTAACCTTAACGTTAATTTAAATTCGTAATGGACCTTGCTTTAAACATCCCCCTAATTTGGCAAATCCCTGACTGTAATACGTACAGTAATAGCATAATTTTTTTAGAGAAATTTTTTTAAGTCGGTAACTCTTGAACAAATTTAATTTAACTATTAACGAAATTTCTACAATCATGGCGCAAAATTCATTACAGCGCATTTGTAAACTACCCCAAAATTTAAAAAAGTTTGACTACGGATAGTGAGTCAATTTAATTGATATCATACATACGTATTAATTATAAACCAATACTATCATATCAGTATTATTAATATCCATTTTTTCATAGCTCTGTCTAATGTGGTGCGTCACTACGCATAAATAATTTAAGATGGGTTGCATTAATAATTTAAGATTGGTTACATGAATAATTTAAGATGGGTTGGATAGTGGGAGGATGGGTTAGATATAAGACTGCCATAGATCTGGGGTGCAAAAAAAATTTTTCGGGGTTTAATTTTGATCGATTGATAATGAATTTGGTGACCATTATTTTAAGTTTGGTGACCATTATTTCAGATTTGGTGACCAAATATTTGCTTAATTCCGCCAATGCGCCGTAATGTTGCGATCCCATGACAGGGTCCGGTAAAAAGTTGTAGAAATTTGGAAATCATATAAATAATATATCCATGGTTACTACTTGTAAGATCTATCTATGTGTACCAAAGTAAAAAAAATAAAAAAAAATAAATATAAATAATAAAATAATTAAAAATTTATACGTATTAATAATGCATTAGGGTCAACACCTGAAAACTTCCTTTGCCATTCTATTTATAGCAACATTGTTGCATTGTAAAATGTGTTTAAAATTCTCCATTCTAAAGATAATCTATAATGTTCAGAATTTACTCCTAATTGGTTTTTGTGCCCCCGTCCTAGTATTACAATATTTTTCGTTAATTTATTTGATTATCTATTTCGAAATAGTGAATGCCAATTTATGACTATTCTCCCGCTACGTCTTTTTATTGACGCTATATGTTCTTTTTTATTCAGTATTGAGCATCTTAAATATGTCATTCTCGGAAGTCGACCATTTGGACACAGAAAGCATTAAAGAGCACCATGGAGAAATCATTTATGATGCTAATGGCTTCGTTAAAAAGATTTATCGAAAAGATAGTCAATTAAATAGAAGAATTGTTGATAGTTACGTAGGCATGTGGCAAGAAGATAAAAAGGATTTTTCCAATAAAGAGGATGGCATTCAAAAAAGACGCGAAAACGCCCAAATTATGTCGAACGCGTTCTATGACCTTGTTACTGATTTTTATGAATATGGCTTGTATAATTTATTGTATTATGATGACTAATCTTATTTTACTTATCAATTTATACCTGAAAAAAGTTAATGATTTTGTTTTTTTTTCTATAGGTTGGGGTGAATCTTTTCATTTTGCTCGTTCTTTTAAAGGTGACACTTTTGAACAATCCATCAAACGTCATGAACAATATTTGGCCGTGAAGCTTGGGTTAAATGAAAAACAAAAGGCCCTTGTGAGAATTATGAATTATCTCATTAAATATATATACATCTTTATATGATATTTATATGATATTAATAATTTACATGTCTTGCGTGATTAGGATGTTGGATGTGGTGTCGGAGGTCCCCTTCGTGAGATAATAAGACTGTCAGGTGCTCACGTTACTGGTCTTAATAATAACGGTTATCAAGTTGAAAGATGTAAAGCTTATGCCAAAAGATTAGGATTAGAAAGCAAGTCCGATTATATCAAAGTAAATAATTTATAACCTGGATTTAATTCAACTTCAAAATTAATTGATTTTTTATTGTAGGGCGACTTCACTGCTATGCCACGTGAGTTAGATGGTAGATTTGATTCGGCTTATGCGATAGAAGCA